CCTTAGATCCCCAACAGGTACTCATATCTGTGTTCTGCCATATCTGCCTCTTAAATTTTCGCCAGCACTGTTGGTATATTTTTTTAACTAAAGTATTTCTTTTTTAATTTGATACACCAAGAGCTAGCATTGCTTCTGCCACAAGGTAGGTATCTTGAATGACCAATTCAAGAAAGTTCATTTAATCCAACTTAATGAAGCCTAAATTTTTCATGTACTAGTGGAACCACATCGAGTTCCTATTTTATCTCCTGATCAAACTGTGTTGTTTGGAGCAGACGTGGTAAGAGCAAGAACCCTGGCCAGATTTTCTCAGGTGGCTCCAGCAGAGCTGTCGGTGGCCCATCTTGCTATCTCAGGTGCTACAAGGCAAAGGGCAGTGAAGTATTTGTTTTGGAAAGTTCATCCTTTGCTAAAGTGCTCCAGTTTCAGAATCTTCTTGATCCTGAATAACAAAGTGTGGCAAATAGGTGTTCACAGCTTTGTCAATGGATGCGGAAGCTGATCTGTTCATCCTTCCTCTTCAGGGACCCCTGATTTACTCTTAACATTGGGGGGAAGGACCATACCACCAGACAGGGGTCCTCAAAATGGCTCAGCGTTCTAAGTCACCCCAACTCAGAATCTGACTGGTTGCCCTGTTGAAACATCTTCCATGACTCTTAGAAGAAAATCAGTATTCCTAATCTAGTATAGGCCTTGTCTCTCCCTGATCTCATCTCACTTCTCACCAGTTTAACACAATCTTTCAGTAAAATGCCTCTCTGTTTCTTCCAACACGTCTCCCTCTGGACTTTGGACTTTTGCCAGTGCAGTTATTGCTGCATAGAATGCTCTTCTACTGTTCCTTTCATGACTGACTCTCCTCATGTTTCTGTCCTCTGTCCCTTGTCATAAGGGGACTGCCCTTGTTCCTGGCCACTCTTGGTCTAGTTATTTCTTCTGTGACCCTACTTGCTCTGACTCTGACTCTGCCACCAGAAGGAATGTTTATAGGGCCCAGGACTGTTCTGTCTTCTCTCTGATTTCTCCCCAGCCCATATTATATCTAAAGAATGAGGGTGCAGGCCAGAGGCTAAGAGGATTCACCAAAGACAGAGTAGGGAGCAGAACAGGCATTTTACTGAAATACACTACTGAGGGAAGCAGTGGACAGACCAGGAGAGGTCTGCTGTGCCATGTGGGTCAGCTCCCTGGCCAGGAGTCAAGCTCATGCTGTAGTGGCCACAGATAACTTCATAGTGCTGTACTTTAACCTGTTGCACCACCAGGGAGGGCCCCAAATTAGGATCTTATTCTTAGTGCTGCGTTTTAATCCACTGTGCCACCAGGGAGGGCCCAAATTAGGATCTTATTAAAGAAAAAGAAAGAAGAAGGAATAGTGCTGCTTTCCTCACACATACACACAGCCCTCCCCAGTGAACCAGTTCTGTTGAGGTCAACTGTTCCAATGAGGACTGGTGGCCACCTCTCTGCTGGCCCTTGTCCAGGGAAGTGCCACCTCCCAAAGTCTTTCTGTTTTGTCAGGAACTCCCAGGCGAGGCTTTTGATCTGGGGTCTCTGAGTGGGGGTTTAGATGAGATTCACCCTCCTATCTGCCTTGTTATAGCACAACACTGGCTTCTATGGGCACTACAGAGGCCGATTCAAGAGTGAAAGTGCTCAAGAATACCGCCTTGCAGCCAAGCCCCAGCCTCCGACAGTATTCCTACGGCGATGTCAGGTACAAAGCCACCATGGGGAAGCTGGGGTGGCTGGGTAAACTTTTGACTTTGCTTAGGCCTGTATCATCCCCAGCCCTACTGTAGCTGGATGAACACATGAAGCCAGTCTATCCCAAGACATACATGAGGTCTGGCCCACTCTTCCTGAAATGTCAGGGGTTCTCACTACAGACAAGGTGAAAGAGATCCAACACCAGGCTGGACCATCTTGCTCAACATTCCTTTTAGATGGGGGAAGGGTCAGGGCCCAGGTGAAAGTGAAAGGTCATAGGGAGAAATCCTCTAGAACACAGGAAGTAAGACAACTGCACTCAAGCCTAGATGTCTTGATGCCTTGAGCTTCATAGTCCAAGGATTCAAGTGTGAGTGGGAGGTTTCCTCTGGTCAAGGAAGAGGCATAGAAAGTGATTGGGTACCCACCCACATGTCTGGTCAAGGAAGCCTAGAAGTTAGTAATTAGTAGCAAAGGTGGCTGGAAAGGCTTCCAGACAACAGGAGAGTCAGAGGAGCTCAGGTCCTCTACTGCCTTGAGGCCTGGAGATAAGGAGGAGGAACTGTGCATATACAGAGTCCCAAAAGTAAAAAGAAAGCTCAAAACAAGAGAACTTGGAGGATGTGCATGTAAGCACACAAAGGAACAGATGTGGCAGCTACAGGGCAATGTGCTCTTACAGGTGTGTCACAACCAAATGATCAGTACTGCCTGACAAAGGGACTAATGGAAGGCTTGACTCCAAGAACCCAGAATGAAAGAGTGGTGTGGACAGAGCCAGCTTGAGACAGCAAGTGGTAGTTTTAGGTGGGAAGGCATGGCCAAGAGAGGTCTGGGAGGAAGCCCAAAGAAGAAATGCTTCTTACCTCCTTCCATCTACCCCTTCCCAGGGCGTCCCAGTGGTCAAAGGGAAGGCAGCCTGGTGAGCAGTACAGGCAGGCCTAGGTAGGAATAGGGCTGAGGAGGCCCAGAACATGCTCTGCCCACTTAAGTTTCTTATTTCCCAGCCTCTATTTGATTTGATTTCCCAGTTCATATTTTATTTGTAAATGTATTCTCCAGGAATTTCTTTCCCAGTCAACAACAGGAACTCGGTGGCTGCCATGTTATAAAACTGACCTTCCTTAGTATTCCCAGTAGGTTGCTTGGCTTTGCCCACTGAGCCAGACCCACATGCAGCTCCAGACTCCTCATCTGGGGTCATCTCCCCTTTGAGAATGATGGGGCTTGAATAGCACAGGCATAGAGGCAATCTGGGGACTCTGTTGGGTGTTTGGATTAGCCCTCAGGGCAGCTCTTGTCCTAAAGGCTGGAATATCCCCCTCTCAATCTGGAACAGGAAGGAAGGAACAGAAAAGGAGACATGTTTTAACAGAAGGGAAGACTTGCTACATAAAGCATTTACTGGCATTATCAGCACCCCCATGTATCATGATCTGTGTGTCTTGAGTTCAGGTTGTCTCATGGCTCTTTCTAGGTCTAAAGCTGTGTTAATGTGTGGGACTGCTCAGAAAAGATGCATATTATTAGCTGAGATACCAGGTTTCAGCTGACTGAGTGGAATAATTGTTGAAAATGTTCCAAGATGTAGCATTCACTTTCCTTTGCTTTGGGGCAGAAAGAAATTTTGCCAATATGATTCAGATGCAAGAATTTTTTTTCTCTTTTCTCTTAAAATAGATGAATTTATTTCTAGCTTCACCTATCTGACCCTTTGCAAATCCTAGTTCTGTTTATTCTTGAGGTCAGATAAGAGTCCAAGGTAGTTCTTTGGTGCTCCAGCAACCCCCCACAACCATGCCTCCATCTGCTGCAGCACCCCACTGACAGCAGTCTGCCTGCCTCCTACTGTCCCATGCACAAACACTGTCCCATGCCAAGAAATTGCCCCCTCTTGGACTAGAACCCCAGTTCAAGCCCCACCTACTCAGAGGGGACCATGGGTTTCACCATTTGGGTGGAAAAGGTGTCCTGGCTGGTTTTGAAGCAAAGATGCAGATAAAATTATCCTCAGGGGCAAGAATTCTCAGAACAGCCTGGGTGGAGCGGAAATAACTGCACTTCTCACCAAGCTCCCACAGTTGTGAGAACAAAACTTGAATCAGTGGGAGTCAATAGTTATCCTGCCACTGTAACAATAGTGGATTTCAAAGTCAGAGCTGCCTCCACCGAAGTATCCACATTTTAGGGCTATATAAAATTCTATAGCTGAGGATAGAGAAGGGAGAGAGGTTTGCAAGTCGATTAGAACTTGCCCAGATCCCCAGGGTTTTTTTAATTAAAAATTTTTACTGAGATTATTGTAAGTTCATAAACAGCTATAAATAATACAATTTTCTTCCATACTTTGCCCAGTGGTAACATTTTGCAAAGCTTTAGTAAAATATCCCAACCAGGAAATTCACAGAGGCCAAACACCCATCTTCCTGTTTCCCATTTACCTGTGCTCATCTCTGTGTATATAAAGTTCTGTAAGAGCTAGCACCTGTGTAGGTTTGTGTATCCACCACCACTGTCAAGATATTAACGTCACAAGAATCTCCAGGACTGCCCCTTTATGATCACACCACCAGCCTCCCACTCCCATACTTTTCCCTGTCCCTAACCTCTGGTAAGCACTAATATCTCCAACATTTCTAAAATTGTATCACTCCAGAAATATTTTATAAATAGAAGAATACATTAGATAATCTTTGGGTATTGGCTTTTCTTGCTCAGTATAATTTCTTAGAGATTCTTCCAAGTTGTTCTATCAGTGATTTGTTGGTTTTTTTTTTTCTGTTACTGAATAGTGAATGTGTATATATATATGTACACACACACACACACACACACACACACACACACCCTTTACCCACCCATTAAGAGATACCCAGGCTGATTTCATTTTTTGGCTTCTATAAATAAAGCTGCTTATAAACATTTGCTCACAGGCTTTTGAGAGTAAATGTCAGTTTTCATTTATTTGGGTAAATGCCTAGGGGTGCAATTACTAGGCCATAGGTAGTTGCATGTCTTGTTGTTGTTGTTTTTCTTTTTTAAGATTTTATTTATTTAAACATACAAGAACTGGGGTACAGGCGAGAGGTGCAGGGGGTGAGAGAACCCACCAGAGACAAAGTGGGGAGCAGAACAGGCAGATGTACTGAAATACACTGCTGAGGGGCGCAGTGGGCTGGTCAGGAGAAGTCTGCATACCATATGGGTCACCTCCCTGGCCAGGAACCATATACCCCATGCTGCAGTGGCTGTGGACAGCCTCACAGTGCTGTGCCTTAACCTGTTGTGCCATGAGGGAGGGCCCTGCATCTCTAGTTTTTTAAAAAAATAAACCATGAAAATGCTTTCTAGAATGGTGGTATTATTTTACATTCCCATCAGCAACGTATAAATAATCCAGGTTTCTCTGCATACTCACCAAAATTCAGTGTTTTGGGTTTTTTTTTTTAATTTTTAAGTCATTCTGATTTAATTTGTATTTCCCTAATGTTTAATGATCTTACCATCTGTTAATCTTCTTTGGTGAAGTCTTCAGGTCATTCACCCCCATTTTTCTTTGGAATTGAGAGTTGAGAGAATTCTTTATATATTCTAGATACTAATCCTTTATTGGACATGTAATTTATTAATATTTTCTGTCTTATCTTGTCTTTTCATGCTATCCACATGTACTCCCATTGAGCAAGACTTGATGAGGCTGATGAGGCCTAACTTTATCAACTGTTACTTTCATGGCTCTTACCTTTTGGGTCAAGTCTAAGGATTCTTTACCTAGCTCTAGGCTCTGAGGATGTCCTCCTGCTCTTTTCTAAAAGGGCCCTGGGTCCTTTACTTTGCAGGAAATGAAAGACTAGGACAGCTGGCTTCCCACCTCATGGAGCTTTCATTCTGTTGGAGGCTACCAGCAATTACGGCAGCTATTCCAAGGAGGAGCTTGTTAAAGACACATAACAACAGAGGCTACCCTAAAAATTATGATTCGAGGATCTAGGGTAGAACTGGCCCCTGCCTGTTATGCAGGAATCTGCTCACAGCTCTGGCTCATAACCCAACCCAGCAAAGCCTGATCTACCAGAGTAGGCACTTTGTTCAGATCTGCAGCTGGAGAGGCCTAGTGACTGACAAAGAGGGGTTCTGGGGGGCAGAGACCAGGCACAAAGGAAAGGTGAACAGTCTTAGCAAAGATTGCTGCTGAAGTCGAGAGATGGTCTTCCTCTGCCTGGGAATGGGTTGTTGCCCTCTGGCCCCAGCTGGCCCAAAAGAGATGCCCTAGGGACCTTCTGTCCCTATTCATTGATACAACAGCAAACAGGTGTTGAGAACAGTGCTAGGTACTCTTCTCATTAGTGTTGGAGTTATTGCTGTGAGAAAGACAGTAATCTTTGCCTACAAGGATCTTATGTTCTAATCAGGGGCATGAGATGATAAGCGGTAAGTAGCATGCTATATAATCATATAGTATATTAGAAGATGAAAATGAAGAGACTGCTAATGTAGTACTCAAGTACTCCCAAAAGACAGGTTAGAAGTCATGGCCATCTGGGAGAAGGGCCAGGTGGAAGGAAACAGATCTGAGATGGGAGCATCTAACATGTTAAAGGAGCAGTGAGGAGGCTGGAGTCAACAGATGCCTCAAAGTCTTTTGGATCTCATGAACCACAATGATGACTTTAACTGATAAACAAAAGGAACTGTTTGTGGCTTCTCAGCATACAAAAGATGTGTGGTGGGACTTACTTATCAAAATAATCGTTCTGGCTACTGAGAGGACAATAGCCGGAGGGGCAAGGTAAGAAGCAAGGAATGGGGGAAAACTGCTTACAATCGTTCAGTCAAGAGTAGAAAGTGACTAAGAACAAGGAAAGCAGTGACCCCACTGGAGTGTTCCTATCCTGGGTATATAGCAAAGGAAGCATCCCCAGGATGTGGACTACGAATGAAAAAGGAGTGAGGTGTTTGGCAGGACCTAGCTGCCATGACCCAAGCTGGGAGGGCTATAAGGGGGTGAGGTTGGGGGAATGACCCAAAGCTCAGTCATGATTTGGGGAGATGGTTGTTAGACATCTACATGGAGATGTGGAGTAGGTCGTTGATTATTGCGTCTGGAGTTCAAGAGGGAGATTAATCTAGAGACAGAAATGTCATTTTCTGGGTGATTCATAGGACCAGGAACGTGGCCCTTATTGGTAAGGGAGACAGCGGAGGAAAGAGAACTCAAGCCTAGTCCTGGGAGATCTAAAGTTAAAGGGCCCATTGTGAAACTTGAACCTATGTTAGGGTGTCCTGGAAACTGCTTTAGCCCCTTCCTTTCTCAATCAGTAGCCCCAGAGGCCTCTGGTTTGGGGGCAAGTGCCAGGATGACATGTTCCAGTAGTGAGGCATTGCTTTCATTTTTATCTGCCCTTTCAAGGTGTTTGGCAGCTTAGCAGTGTAGGGGCAATAACTCCTAGCAGCTCCCCTCTAGTGTGAGTACTGTCTTGAGAGCAGTAAATTTCATTTTCCCTCATTCACCTCCTTTCTCACTGTCTTTCAAGGAGCCACCACAGCAACACTCCTTCTCCAAGCATGACAACCGAACTTCCTTCGACAAAGTGAGTGCTGGAGAGGAGAGTGGGTAAGCCCCCAGCCCAGATGGAAGTTAAGGTAGCATGGAGAGGATAAGGCATCCAGGGAGGGATAACTCATTATACAGAGGTCTGTCTTCCTGACAACTTCTCTTTAGGACAGCCCATTCCCCCGAACAAAGGGAGCTCTGTTTTGGTGTCCTCCTCCAGTTTGCCTGATAATGTGCAAATACCCTAGGAGCTACTACTGATTTCTGGGGGGGATTCACTCTAGAATAGAAAGCATGGCTGAGAAGGCCAAAGAAGACAGGGCACAAGCCAGGCTTAGGTGTAGGAGGGATCAAGAAAGTGCCTGGTGCCAAGACTGTGGGCCAAGGGCCCATACCGTTGAAAAGGGCCCCTACTGCCTGCTGCAGGGAATCGGAAAGCGGAAAGACCTGGAGCGTCTGTGGCAGCAGCATACCTTTCTGCACTGGGCACCCTGTGAGCTGGAGTTACACCAGCAGCGGCCCCTTAAATCCTCCTACCAGAAAAATTTCCGGTCAGGCCCAGGATTCAGAGACCTCCCCCAGCGCCTTGTCCACTTTATGCAGCTCCAGCCTCCCCATGTCAGCACCACGTACCAGCAGAACTTCTGCCAGCCATCACGGGGTGGTCACTGTGGCAGTGACAAAGTGGGACCCCAGGCTCCAGTCACCGACACGCTGCCTGACCTCCCAGGGATCCCAAGACGCAAGCTACTGCAGCACTACCTTCATGCTGGTGTCTCCGAATGTCTAAACTGGTCCAAAGCATTAAACTAGGATGGCTGACACAGAGGCCTGTCTGTGCTTGCAGCCTAAGTGGTCTCAGAGGCAGAAAGCAGTGGGTACTGGCAGGCCCTGCAACTGGCTCCCATGACACTTGTGTAATGGACCCTGGAAGCTCTGCCACTGAGGTAAAAGGGGTGTAAGGGCCTGCAAGAGGCTAAGGGGTCCAGGGGGTTCCCTGTTTGGGTTGCATAGAACCCAGAATCTATTCTTACAGCAAACCAAACTCCGATTACCGGTCCTCAGTGCAGCTACAAGAAAAGTCAGCCAGCAAAGGCAGGAGAGGGAAGCAAGGGCTGGCAGTCTTACTTCTCAGGGAAGCCACTGCCTAGAGGTGTCTGGTAGATGGCCACACAGCCCTGCCTAAAAGACCGATTCCCCATAATTAGGACAAAGGTAGACGGCCCTGGTTACTCTCCTGCTGGACCACTCTCCCAATGGAGGTGAACATAGCCTTTGGCCTTTTGGAAAGCTGTGTGACATGAACTTGAAGGTTATCCTGACCCTGTGACATTTTCTTGTAGCTTTCTAGGCTCTTCTCTCTAAAGAGAACCCCCTAACACGCAGGACAGTAAGGGACACTATTCACACTATGTCACCAAAGAGATGCCAAGGTTTAGATGAGGCTAAGACATTAATAGGCTGGGGGCAGAGGCCAGGTCCAAGAGGCTCCTTTTGGAACCTCTCATCAAGGCCCCTAAAAAGGACCAGAGGCTGCAGGGGAAACACAGGAGTCCACACCAGGGACCACATAGCAGCAATTTTACTTCTACAGCTGAACTCCCTGGGTCCTCACAACAGCCCTGTGAGGTAGGTAGGGCAGGAAGGTTTCAGAGATCCCCATTTACAGATGAGGATGCTGAGGCACAGAGAGGTGAAATGACTTGCCCAAAGTCACACAACCAGAAAGAGCCCAAGGCCAGAGAAAGGCTGGCTTCATGCTATTCCTGCATCTACGTCTTTGTGTCCTCTGCCCTCTGAACTCTCCTGAGTCCACAGGGGCCTTCAAGGCAGAGTGCTGACAGCTGGGATTTTTCAGGACTACCCTGAAACACCATTGGGGTAGACTTGATCATCTCCAAATAGGCACTGACCCTATGAGGCAGGAAGCCAGCTCTCCCCTCCTACCACTTCCCAGTTGGACAAAGGGCTCAGTAGGTTCCAGAGCAAGAGTGGAGCTAGGCATGGTCCATGAATGAGTGGGTGTAAGTGGGTGTAAGCATATAAGTGTCTTGCACTAAAGACAAAGCCCCCCCCAAGTCTCCAAGGCAGTGTTTCCATTGCCCACCCCAGTGCCTCCCTCATCCCAGAGAGCCACAGTGAGTTTCGTCAGCAGCAAAAGCATATATATCTGCCTCTGGCACTGAGCTGCTCCATTAGACAGTTCCATTAGGCATTCAGACCCCATCACGAAGACACAGTGCCTCCACAGCTTGGCTGGGACCCTGGGCCACACCCCCAACGACAAACAGTCGGGGCCCAGCTTGCAGACTAGAGCAGGAGCAGCGGGCTGTAGGCATGGTAGGCAGTGCCTCCCAGCGCCGCCGTGCAAGGCTGAAGCCCTCCACAGAACCCAGAGGGCACGGCTGGTTTCCTGCAGGAAGGAGACAGAGACTGTAAAAAGCACAGATTGCAGGGGTTCTCCTCGTTTGCTCCCTGAGCCCAGAACATGATTGAGCAAATACCACTGCAGGATGGGTTATCAGTGCCTTACTAATCATTCTTTATTTATGTTTACTCATTTCTATTCATGTATCTATATGTCCTATTCATATCATTTGGTCATTTGCCCTGTTTCTAGGCTCGTGCTGACACAAGTGCTGAGGGATACGCCAAGAGCTGGGCCATACAGACCACACCCCACCTGGTTCACAGACTGGAAAGTTTGTCACCCTTAGAGTGCCTGGAGAAGGCAGGAGGCAATACTCAGGCTCAGGACTACTCCTTCGTGACTCCTCCCCTCCCATTTTTAGCCCCACAGAGATTCACCAAGGTCCCCAGTGTCCCCCCCATTCCCAGTCACACAGAGACTCACCAAGGCCCCCAATGGCCACGATGTGGCCCCCAAGAGAGCCAACCACAAAGTCAGCCCTCTTATCCCTCATGCGCAGACTGCGGGGCAATTTGGTCCAGGACCCTGAAGGAAAGGGAAAGAGAGATCTAGCCCCCCATACATATTCCACAGAGAACGGAAAGATAGGCCAAATCAGTCACTGCTCACCATGCTCCAGGTCAAACATCTCCACAGTGTTGACAAAGTGTGGGCGGGAATAGAAGTTGTGGGGCCCGGGCTGCTGTAGGCCACCCAAGCTAAAGACACTGCCTTCAGCCATGGCGCAGCCAGCAAAGGCCCGGCGGCTAGGTAGGCTTGGGTGCCGAGTCCAGGTACGGGCCTCCAGGTCAAAAGCCTCAAAAGCAGTCACTGGGAGCTTGCCTTGGCGGCCCCCTGCCAACAGAATTGGGGTACTCAAATGGGTTCCGCCTTTACCACTACCTCCACGCCCCTGCCCCAGCCAACCATGCCGAGCTATATACACATAGGAGTATGGATCATCCACTCCACAGACACTCAGGCACTCAGGTTTGATTTCCCAGCCTCAGCAGGACTACCAGAAGTCAGAGCCTGTGAGCAGGCCTGCTTACCCCATCAAAATTGTTCTTGTCCCACCAGACTGACTGATCTCAACTAATCCACATGTATATGGATTTCTATGGGTGGGGGGTTTCCGCGTGCTCCCCAGACCTTACCCAGGACATAGATCTTGTTCCCATGCAGAAAGGTGGAGGCCGCGTAGCAGGGTGTGGGCATGGAAGGTAGTGAAAGCCAACAGTCTCGGCGGGGCTCGTACACCCGAACCTGGGCCTGGGGGGCCGTGTCAGGGCCCATTCCCCCCAGGGCATATACCATACCATCTGCAGAGAAAAGAGTAGTTCATACTGTACCCCAGCCTGGTCAAGGCATCTCACCCAACAACTGCCTGTTCAGATCTGGGGTAACTGGAGGCCCATGTTTGTGACACTCCTCTCCAGCAGAAAAAACTCTGCTGCCATCCTAGAGTGGGGGCTGGGAGTGTTTGGATTCCCGCTCTGGCCAGGGCCCCTCCAAGTGAAAAACAAGAGGGAGCTGATCTAATTATAACCTGTCTCTGTCTCCCTGGAGACGCTATAGCAACCAAGTCTGGCATCCAAGCAGACGGTGGTCAGACCTGGAGGCCACAAGGTGGGGGCTCCCTAAGGGGAGGGGCGGTAAAAGATAATTCAAGCCATGGTTAGGGGCATAAGTGAATCTGTTTAGCATGGAGCTCGGATTAGGGAGGGAGGGTCTGGGATGGCTGAGGGGGAGAGATGGAGGGAAGGGAGGTGGGTATGAGGTGGGGTAAGAGAGGGGCTTGGATTTGCAGGATGGGGATACTGGGCTCAAGCCTGCTACACAGGAACCCTTTCAGCACCTCTACACCTCGCTCTCACTGGAGTGATTCACACCCTCAAGAGTTAGTTTGGGGGCATGTCTGGGGGGTCCTGGGGAAATGGACTAGTCAGCTGGAGGCTTCCATGGCAACTGTCCCTAAGCCAGCTTGGCCTTTACCTCAGGCTCCCTGGTGTGTATGAGTGGGGAGGGAGGGGTTGGGGGAAATCTACGCACTTGCTGGGCTCTGAGCCAAGGCTCAGCTCACCTCCCCTTCCCCTAGACTATTTATAACCCTGGGAGTCATTGGGCCACCCTCCTTGTCTCTTAGGAGAAATGGGACAAGGAGGTGCCAGCCTAGGCTCTACCTCCCACCTCACAGTAAGGAAAGGCAGTTAAGGCTGCTGAAAACCCAATTCAGAGGTAGGTAGGGGAAGAGACAAGAGGCAAAGACACAAATCCAGGGCACCCAAGCAAAAATTTCAAATCTTGCCCATTATCTGAGAGTAAGGGACCAAGTCAAGGAAGATTGGAGGGTGTTGGGGCATTGGAGGGACCTTCCTTGGGAGGCCACTCACCTCTCTCCACAGTTGCAACCCCCATGGCTGCCTGAGGGAGGGTGGCCCGACGCTCCCAGCGGCCTTCGTCAGCCAGGAAGGCCTCCACAGCAGCTACTGGGCTTTGGCCCTCATCCACACCACCCACTACAAGCACCTGCTTGCCCAGCACCACAGCAGCTGCACCAGCCCGGGCAGTGGGCAGGGGTGCCAGTGCCAGCCACGTGTGGGAGGCCATGTCCAGTTTCTCAGCAGTGTCCAGGGGCAGTCCAGCCCGGCCACAGCCTCCCAACACTAGCAGGTGCCCATCCTGATATGCCACTGTGCCATATACCCGGCAGGTGGGCATGGGTGGGAACACCTGCCAAGCAAAGGCCCGGCCACCTCCTGCAGCCATGGTGTTCACCTCCAGTGGCAGGCCATGCTATCTTCTCAGTATGCAGGCCTCACTGAGGGGTGTGATGGGGCCTCATCTTGACTCTACCAGTAGGGTCTGACCAGCCCAGGAGCCTTGCCTTGACCTGGAGGAGAAAGGGAAAACAAAGGTTCAGGACCACTGAACCGCCTCTCAGGGAACTGAAGAGCAGCCAGCCTATTACTAAGGGCAGGTGTGGCCCAAAATACTGGTGGGGGAGGCAAGGGAGGACCCACCCTTGTTGACCAGTACACCACTGTGGCGGCCGTCCAGGAGTGGGTAAGAGGGTAGACTCCTGGATACCTAGGCAATACCCCCTTCCTATGGTGCACGAGGGATTCTCCTCCAATCTCCTAGCTCCTTTTCTTCCCCTAACAATCCTTACCCTGGTACTCTGCAAGAAGCGAGTCCTATTATATCCTCCCCTTTACTGGCTTTCAGAACACTCTGGATAGCCATCAGGGTCTTCATCATCTGCTGCCAGGGATCAGACTCTAAGGTATCCTTACAACCCCCTTGGAGGCCATTCCATAGAGTTCATCTATTCCCACCAGCACAAGGCTAAGAACAGGGCGTTTTATGGAAGGTTTACCCATGCCAGGATATGGGGAAACCTGAGGGTTTCCCCATGCCTGGTCCTCAGAGTGTAGCCTCCTTGGTATGCAGAGGGAGGGAGGAAAGGGAGGTGATTTGGGGATCCCAGGAGCACACAACTATAGGGTCCCAGAGTCCAGGGCATTTTCAGGAGGCTTAGGCGTTTGGATTTCTGAGCCTTCTCAGAGCAGACCCCTAACTTCTCCTTTCCCGCAAGGGCCACACTACTAGGACCCCTGGAGCAAAGGCCTCCTGGCCCCAAACTTCCAGCTCAGGGGAGTGGGAGGGGGGGGCGGGTCCGGGTGAGTGAGCTTGGTGTTCTATATCCCGCGCCCCAAACTTCCCCTAGCGCGGCACCCGCGGGACTCACCAGCCGGGGCTTTGGCGCCGCCAGGGCACGGGGTCCGCCGTCCTGGCTCCGCTGGTACCGGCTTTGGCTGGGACTGAGGCCGGGCTCCGGTGGGGTTTCGGCTCGGCTCTGGCGCGGGGCGGGGCTGGACGGGGTCCGCCCCTCGTCCCCCCCCCCTTCCCCTTCCTTCCAGCTATGTAAAACCTCCCCCCAACTCCCGCCCCCAGACTTAACCCTGCACCTGCCGTAGCCAGAGTAGGGAACGCAGACCCATCGTCACCTGCAAAAGGGTGGACTGATAGAAGTGAAAACTGGGCCTGTCCAGGATTGGGTCCGACCTCGGGCGGGGGAAGAAATGAGGCAGCGGTGAGCAGCACAACAGCACAACACATGTGTGATAGGGGTGGGGGCGTTTTCTGCAGGATCCAGCCAGAGCGCACCGGTAATGGAGTGACCCAGCAGAACCTGCGGGCTCTAGGGGCGGACGCCCCCCCACCGTCACTGAGCTCCGAGGAGCCCAACGACTGGCTTCACTGCTCTGCCCCCTGGAGGCCACTTGAGGCATGGCGTGAGCATCTGGTAGGGCTGGTGCACTGGGGTGCTTCCCCAGGCACAGAGAATGGGTTCTAAGGTGCAGACTGAGGATAGCAAGAGGTAGAGAAGCAGGCAGTGCTAGCCTGCTTGCAACCCTACTTAAGGGTAGATAGACCCTTAAGTAGGCCAGAGTGGGAGGGTTTTTTATGGGGAAAGGTAGCTCTGAGCAGAGAAAGAGCTTGAAGAGGCCCGAGGACTTCCAAGAAAGGTTATTCTGGCCTCATTCTGTAGGGTCTGAGGTCTGGGTTGCTCTGGGGCCCAAGGCAACTGTGACTATCCATCTTCAGGTTCCTGAGTTTGTCTGTAGCCAACTCGGGGGGTCAAGAACAAGTTGGTGTGACAGAGCACCTTACCTCATAGCCAGACCCAGATTCTTGCGCAGAGTATTGGCTAAACCTGTGAACTAAGGATCTGTTTATAAAGGTGACCACTAACTTGCTACTACTTCGTCCCGCTTTCACGGACTGTGCTTTGTGACTTTCCCCAGAAATACACCTGGAAACAATCAAGTGCATATAGTTAATGTGGGAACTGAGGCTGGCCCAGAAACAACCAGCAGAGGAGTGGCAGAGACAGGGAAGCAGGCACTTTGTGTGTGTGTCAAGCAAGTTACCACTGTGGTCAACTGGGGCCAAATCCTGCTGGGGACATTGGAAGCCAGTGTAGCAAATGGACTTCATATTACCCACCCACCACCATAACCCCCTTCCTACACACAGAGCATGGGTTGTGAGGTACTCATTCTCAAGTCTCTTGTCAGTCATGGATTGAGGGCTGCTTGGGGGTATTAGTTCCCAGGCTGGCTCAATATATGGGCTGTCCAAAGTGTGGGAAGAGCCTCTTGCATGTCCAGAGAGTCTTCAAAGTCCCTTTCAAAGCTGCCCATTGAAGTGGAAGGCCTGCATGGAAATGGTACAGTTCCTGGCTAGGTTTCCTCCCATTCCATTTGCCTCTTAACTTGGGACACTGGGACCACCCCCTATAGGGTGTTCTCACAAAGCTCTGCATACCTCCTTATATTTCCCATGGTTCCTTTTCCACACCCCCTCCCATCTCCTTTCTAGCACCCCTTTAAATACCTTTTAGCACTCCAAATTCCTCATCTCCCTCCCTCCTTGCAGTCAAATTTGAAGCCATTTGCTCTCACAGATTACACCCTTGATACCTGCCTCCTTATGTCTGCTGCCCCTGCTCCCCAAAAATTGTTCTTGCCAAAGTAATCATGGAACATCATAAAGGTAAAATTAGAGGGTCACTGTGGTCTTTATCGCAAGTGAAATCTTGCTGGCATTTTCAGAGTCAAACTCTATGACCGTGTCTTCCTCCTACTGCTTGTCTTGTCTCTCGGAGTCTTTTATAGGCCCTACTTCCTCTCTTTCCTTAGGAAGTGGATACTCAAAACCCAGTCTTGGGTTTTCTTTCTAACACACAGAGTGGGGTGATCACTCCCATTCCCACTCAAAACTCAGCACAGTTAGGGACTATGAACAGAGTGCTATGGTGGAATTTTCTGATTGCATCCCCTGCAACCTTAGACCAAGAGTTGTGGCAGTATTTCTACCTCCTAGTTGATTTGACTCAAGGGCAAATGCCCTGACTACCTCATCCATGAAACCTGTTCTCCCATGATGCCTCCCGACCTGGATTTGGGGGTCCTTGACCAAGAGGGGTCTTCGGTCAGAACACTGGATGTTATTCTGATCCTTCTCACACTGGGAGTTAAATTTGACCTGTGTCCTCTCATCTGATGCTGTTTGGCCAGTAATGCTCTGTAAGCATTACTGCTTTGTAAACCCCAGGTAAGAAGAAAAGACTGAGGTGCCTATCTCCTAGGCAGAAGGACAGGGATTCTAGATAGAGTTAACACTGGATGCAGGGACTCTAGATAGAGTTAACACTGCCTTGAGGGGGCTGAGGCTAGGCTAAGGAACTTCCATTACACCCATATACACCTTCCCAGGCAAACACACTTAGGCACACCCTGATACACTGGGGCTCTCAGATTGGACATGGCCAGTTTTGGCCTTAGGTGTAGCACATGTATACATACAATAGCCATTCAAATCACATGATATAGGCCTCATTCTTGGAAAGAAAGCAGGCCCTGATGCCTTCAGAAGAGCCATCCCTTATGCAAACATCATGCAACAACCAGCCTAAGGGCCACTCTTTTGTGCTCTGGGGGAAGTTAGGAACCTGGGACAGATGCAAGGTCTTATAAGTGGTTGCCAAGTAGCAGAGAAAGGAGGATGTCTTGGATCTTGTCAGGAATCCCTCAGAAAGTCCCACTCACATATCACCACAAGATGAGGTCCCTCAGTCAGGGTTTCAGTAATGTCCCTAATCCAATCCTAACCAGGTTCCTATACAGTTCTGTTGAGGCTATATCAGAGAGGCCCTCTGCACCTCACACTTCATTATAGGTCAGATGGGATCAGGGCAAAGCACGTGGCCACCACCTCCAGGAAGCCCTCCTTGGTACTCATCTGCCCCGCCCCCAGATATTGGTGGGGAAGGGGGTCTCTGGGGGTCAAGGGTCATTAGGACGGTCCAGGTCCCGGAAGCGGAAACGTAGCACACTTCCGGTGCGCAGCGGGCGGCCATGTTGGAGCAGCGGAGGCGGCGCAGAGGTGCGTCTTGGGTCCCCGCGGCGGCGCCGGTAGGTTGGAGCCGCGGGCCTAGCCGTGCCCTGGCGGGGCCGTCCGCGAAGCGGCAGGGTAGATGAGCCGGGCGACTGGCTCTTCCCCGACTCGCGCCTTCCGCCGGCCTCGCCGCAACCCCCCACCCCTCCCCCACCCCCACTCGGTGCCCAGCGACTCCACCCTGGGGTTGTGCGTCCCGGTCGGGCTCGCACGCCTGCTCCGCGCTTTTAGCTTCTTCCAACACTTCACCTTCTGCCTGCAACTCGGGCTCTGGGGTAATCCCAGCCCGAAGGCTCTGATTTGCTTCCGCCCCGGGTTTGCTTGGATGGGGCCTTTCCCATCCCTGTCTTCAACTTCCCCTGCTAGTCCTGGGGGCACGAGAGAAGGGAAGTCGGGGGTCGGGCTGCAGCCTGTTTCCGGAGCTTCTAGGAAAGCCCAGAAGACCCCTCCTAAGGGCCCAGACAGATTTGGGCGGAAGAACCTCCATTTCACCCCCAATATTTTTGTGCCTCGGGGAAAAAACAGACCTCGCTGTTCTACCATTCACAGCCGTGGCAACTACACCCCTTGGGGGGAAAAAAAAGGAATAACAATAAAGAAAAATCTAAGATCATGTGCAAAGATTGTGCTAATAGAATAGCTCTGGAGAGGGGAAGTACCTGAGACACCTGAGGATCCAAGCGTGTTCCAAACAAAGAATCCCAGGGCACTTCCTCCAGGGGATTCTGAAAACTTTCTTTGCTCCTTAGGGTTGTAAAAAGAAACTGCACAGAAGCACCTCCGGACCCCAGGGATCTTCTTGATCCCAGTTGATCTTTTAATGTTCTGGTGCAGCTGGGGAGCTGCCTTTGGGGAACCCTTGGGCGCGAAGTGCTGGGTTGGGCTTTAGCTATTAGCCATGATTGACAGGACAACATGTGTTGCCTGACAGCGCCATTTGGGCTGAATGTAGCAGTTTGTGACACACCAAACCCTGGTTGGGAAAGCTCAAATATCTGGTATCAAACATATTAACCATCCTACTTAGCCTTTGTCTCCCATTGTCAGACCTTGGAGAGGTCTGGCTTCCTGATTGCCTAAAGATGTCATTTGTATCTGCTACTCATCTTTTTAGTTTCTGTTAAAGGAGAGCTTGAATCTCCCTGGACTTCACGACTCTAGTGCTGGGAATCAGACCTGCAAGTAGCCTTTTTAGGGACTCAAACCTGAACATCTGGTAGACTGGGAGATTCAGTCCTTGGGGTGAGAAGTGGGAGAAGAGTTAGAAATGGACTTGGATATAAGTCTGGACCCTTTGGGCAGTAATCAAGGCTGGTGATACTCTACTTTCACCTGTTATTCCAGTTTGAGCTCCCCAGCCTCACCCTAAATTCCAGTCACACAAAGTATGCCTTACTCTTTCTCACCTCTGAGACGCTGCATAGGCTGTTTCCCTTTTTGCTCCATTTTCATCTCTTCATAATTCATCACAGCTTCGTGTGACCTCTCTGGAATCCTCTGCCTGTTGGCACTCTCAATGAGTTGGGTGCCACTCTCAAGAACTTTGGTAGTGTCTGTTTTGCACACTGTTCAGGAATCCTTGAGGAGGACAGAGATATTTGCCTGTGTTCTCAGGGTTTCTGGCTTTAGAAAATACAGTCATGAATTAAAAGGGGCCCACCAAGACAGAGCCTTTCCAGGGGCCCAACAGTAGGTTGGCTGACTCTGCCGAGCTTGTGGGCTTGTCTCCTAAGGAAACTGCCTCTGACCCACATGGCTTCTCCACAACTGTGTTAGTACAGGAATCTAGGGTTCTGCTCCAGGAAACAGCCAGCTCTAGTCAGACCCTGTGTCAGTGGATGTTAACCATGGAAATATACAGGCTCTGATTGGCCTACCTATCTTGGTCCATATCTTGGTGCCATTTTTATTTACTCTCTTCCTCTTGCCTTGGAGGTGCTGAGCGCTGGTTTGCGGATACCCACTCAGATCTACAGTGCCTAATGCCATGAGCGTGGTGGTGCAGCATGTGGAGGAGAAAGCTGTGCACTCCTGGTCACGGATCTCCACAGCAGGGAAGAAGGCCTTGGAGGAGGCGCTGCTTGTCTTTAACCCCATGAGCCAGGATCTCAGTGCTACAGAGGCCCAGCTTGTGGCCTTCCTGCAGGGCCTGCGGGATGATGGCTTCCAACCTACCATTCTACGCAGTGGTGATGTCTATGGCTATAGCTCATGTACAGCCAACCCCCCAAGTGAAACGAAACTGCAAGCTCGTGCCCCTACCCCAGCTGCCACTTCACCTCCAGACAGTGCACCCCGAACTGCAGTACAGCTGCCTGCTGGCCGGGCCACATTGCTCCCCATGCCACTGTCTGGCAGACTGGCCAAAGCATCCACTCCACCCCTCACCAAGCATGCTACCACCAACTTGCTGCTGAGCTCTCTGAAGCAATCAAGTGCCAGCCGTGCCCGGGGTGCGGCAGTGGGCTTCCCCGCCCGCCTCTATCCAGGTGTCTACCCTGCCATGCGGCTCTCCGTTGTCCTTGAGGCCCTGGTTCCACTCAAAACTCCCATGCCCTGCTTGGGTGCCAAGCACAAAGCACTACAGCTTTCACTTGCAGAGTCTCCTCTGAAGCTACGAAAAAGTGCAGGGAAGAGACCAGGGAGCCCTCACCCCAAGGCTCCCAAAAAAGCTACCAGCAAAGGCCCTAAGTGTCCGTCTCATAGAGGCCCCCGACCTGGACCCCGACAAGGCACTGGGCCCCAGAGCAAGACCTATAAAGCTGTTGGACCCCTCAGTGGCCACCGAATGAAAGTTTGTTCTGCTCTGGGCACCAAGACAGCACGAACACTGGCCAAAGGAGCCCATGCCCAGGCCAAGGTGGCTCGAACACAGACCAAAGCTGCCAAGGCCCGAGCTAAAGCCAAGGCAGCACGGATCAAGGCCAAAGCCAAGGCAGCACGGATCAAGGCCAAAGCCAAGGCAGCACGGATCAAGGCCAAGGCCAGGGCAGCACGGATCAGGGCCAAGGCCAGGGCAGCACGGATCAGGGCCAAGGCCAGGGCAGCACGGATCAGGGCCAAGGCCATGGCGTTACGGGCCAAGGCCAAAGCTAAGGCAGTACGTGCCAAGGCCAAGATGTCTCGGGCCCAGCCCAGGGGCAGGGGCAGGCCAAAAGGGTCTGTTCAGGCCAGGACTGCAAGGAGAGGCCAGAAAAGCCACTCTGAGACTGTTGGGCAGAAGAGGAAAAGGGCTGAGGAAGCAATGGATCTTCCTCCCCAGAAGAGACCACGACGAGGACCTCAGTCCCCTAAATCAAGGGTAGGGCCTGGAACAGCAAAGTTGCTAAAATTCCGGGTTATCAAGGTGGACAGGCAGTCCTCAGATGATGAGGTACGGCAGCGGGCTCAGAGGATCCTCCATGTGAACTTGTCCCCCGTAATACGGCTCCAGCCATTGTTGCCATACTCAGCACCGTGATTCCATCACATAGCAGTGTTTGGGGGAGCTGAGCTGTCTGACCAGTGACACAGTGTGAACGACCCAAGGACTCCTGGTGCCTCACTCTAGGTCCCTGGCAACCACTGGCCTCCTTTAAGTGACTAGAGGACGTGGGGTGGGGTGGGTGGGCGGGAAGGGTGTTCTCCTGGCGCGATGCACTGTGACTTGTTAACTCTTCAAGTTGTATGTCCACTGTTCATCTATCATGTTTTATACCTTTCCACCTCCCAGTCTCCCTGCCCACCCTTCAGAGTCTTGGGGGGAGGGGGGATTTAAGGGAGGGGGTTGTGCGGAGCCACTCTGAGGTGGGAAGACCCCTTGGGGCTGCCCTGGCTTGTGATCCAGATGGGCCCTGTGCAAGAGTGGTACAGTAGATGGCTATGTAGGGACCTTGCTGCCCACAGGTTTTTAGGTCAGGGAGGGGGAATTTTGGTGTCGCTCCCCAAGGGCCAAGCAGACCATCTGGCCTTGTCTCCCAGTCAACTTTAGCTGGCATCATGGGGCTTTTCCTGGACTTACCTAGATTGAGCGGAGTGCCTCTGCCTCTCCTCACCTCTGCTCCTCCAGGAGAGAGAAAGTAGCTTCCACTTTCCCGGTTGGTGTCAGGGGTAGGGGTCCAGTCAGCTTGGGGTTCTGGCTTCTAGGACCACAGAATCTGCCCTCACAAACAATGAAATTTTTACTAAGTGGGGTACTACTTTAGCTGAGCCAGGAGAATTTCTCTCACTGCCTTGCTCATCAGCAGTATGTTCTGTCTGTGTTCCAAGTACTGTGTTCCCAAGTGCAGCCTTGTTTGTCCCTCCCACTGGGCCTGTGTGTTTCAGGCATTATCTGGTCTTCCTACGGGAGGGTGTGCTAGGCTCTGGGCCCTAAACCTGAACAAAACTAGTTCCTCTAACCCTCTGCCAGTTCTGTGCTGGCTGCCCATCCTTGAAAGGCAGTGTCTGGGACTGTCAGGGAGAGGAACACATTCCCCACAGGCTCCTGGAGATGAACAGCTTCCCCGCGCAGCAAGGGATGGGAGCCTCATTTGAAAGAGAATTGGAACTCTGGATTGGGCTGAGCCCTAGCCCCACTAACTCGGGCTACACTGGATGGCAGACCTGCAGAGAAGCTCTGCCTGCTTCCGACTCCCCACATTTCTTCTACTTTGGTGGCTGCCATTAAAATCCCCTGGGTGCAGTCTCCCAGTTCCCGAGCGTGGGGAGGCCCTCACACCAGCTGCACCGTGATCCCTAGCCTTCCATGCCCCTTGCTTCTGGCATCCCTGATTTCTTCAACCATGTGAGCATGGGGGTGAATGGAGGACCACACACTGCTGCTCAAGAACCCCCCAGTTTGGTGGGCATCCTCTCAGGCCTGATTCCTGCTCCCAACATCCAGGACCCCCAGCTGGGCTAAGCCCCCCTCCTTTCGCTTCTACTGCTGCTACAGATGAGTAAGGGGTTTGCTCTTTCACTAAGAGCCAGCCATAGGGGTAGTAGAAATCTCAGCTTCTCTACAGGTAGGGTGTGGTGGGGGGGAGGGGAGGGCTCCTGTAGCATTCCTATTCAGACCCTGTTCCTCCAGTCCAGGCTCCTAGAACAAATGCCCAGAAGGTACCAGACGCGCTACCCCCATCTGGCTGAGCAAGTGCCAGCTATGACCCACCCACTGGCAGCCTGATTGTTAGCCAGAGCCAGAGCCTTCGAACTTCAACTGCTCTGTCAGTCACCTTCAGGTGGGCAGGAGGGTGAGGGCTCTGGGGCTGGTGTCATTGACTCCTGGGGAGGTTCAGCCCTGTAGGAGTTCATTGTTTCCCGGCTGGAGGGAAGGAACCATGCTGTGAGGTTTTGTGAGAGCTGAGGGTTGAAACCGTAGACTTGCTCAGCTATTTGGGCTATTCTCCAGGACTGAGATTTGCTGCTTCTTTGACTCTTGGGACCAGGGAGGGTCACAGCATTGAGAATGTGATCCCCCAGAATGGTCATGGAGGCGTCAAGACCTGGTGGCAAGCAGCGAGTAGTGAGGGTGTCAGTCTACCTGTTTGGGTCTAGGGCATGGGGTCAGGTCCCAGGCACTACAAGCCCTTGTGGTTCCAGGTGCTGAGAATGTCACCAGCCAGCCAGACCCAGAGGGTGCCTCCTATTTTACTCACCTCATCGTGACTTTCAGGGTGACCCCATTTCTCTAGCCTGAAGGCTTGCTCTGCTTTCCTGTGTGATGGCCATCTGTGATGTGTGCCCCTGAAAGATATGCCCCCACCTCCACTTGTCCCCAGACATTCTGCCCAGCAGTGCTGCACCTTGAATGCTCAATGGGCCATGTCCACTCCTGGCACGTATACGGATACTTTGCCAACAGCCGCTCAGTCATCTTTCTTAGGATCCCTCCTGCCCTTGGCCACAGGGTCAGTTACCTCATCTGTGACCAGTGTTACTCAGATACTGAACCTTCCACTGAGGGCCAGGTCAGGTTCCGAGGAAGGAGCAGGGATTGGGTCCTGGTGGAAGGCCAGTGGCTTAGGCTTGTTCTTTCCTCTCAGGTAATTTTCACAGTTTTGGACCCAACCATTCTAGTGGAAGACCCATACAACCCCAAGATCCAGGGTCACCATCCCCACAGCCAATTCTGTACTTTTGTGCATGTCCGGACAGCCAGGTTGGTGGTGGAGAAGGGCCTGGATGGGGTCATGTGTGGAGTAGGGTGGCAGGCAAGCCCCCTCAATCCCCCAGCACCAGTATCCATGGTCCTCTATTGTGGCCCTTGCCCTGCCCTCCCTGTTCTCGTTCCACCACTTTCGCATGCCAGTGCCTAGACTGGCATGGATAGCCGTCCTATCACTCCATCGTGGAGTCCGATTGTCCCCATCTCTGCTTCCCATGCCAGTTCCCATTACAGTCGCACATAGCCCTCCTTCGTGAGCCCCCATCTCCATGCCCCATCACTGCTGCTCCCCACCAGTAGCCTGTCCCTTGGTCTGTAATCCTCTCTTCAGTTGGTGTCCCTCATCCCTGAAGCTGCCTCTAGGTGGCGCCAGGGTGTCTGACCTCTTCCTAGTAAAACAAAAGTTCTTAAAGCATGATACAGGCTATGTACATACTTAGAAAGACAGCCTAAAGCATGGCCAGGTGAAGACAGATGCCACTAGTTTTTCTCTGCCCATCTTAACTGGTTATCACCAACGACTCACCCAGAGCCTCCACACTTGGTCCCTGAGCAGCGGATGTTCGATTCTCTAGGACAAAGGGGAAGCAAGGCTCAGGAGAGACGAGAAGCTCCAGTTGGTGACTGAGCTATAGAGGAGGTAGAGCACTCATCCCACCCCTTCATCCATGTTTACAATTACCTAGTGCCCACTGAGCACCATTGTGTGCCAGGCATTCCCCACAGCACTCAGTGGGGGAGATGAGTGGGCCTGATAGGAAGTCAATAGATAAACAAATAAAAGCTTAGGTAGATTGGCTGTGTAGTAAATTAATTCCTACTTTGGATGAGGAGTTGGGGAATGGAATTATTTAGTACATTGAGGAAGCAGGTGTTAAGAACCTAGATATAAAAGACAGTTGTCCAGGAAGCAGTGGAATGTACAGTTGTCAGCTCTTGAGTGATATACAGGGGCTAGAAAGGTACAAAAATGGAATTACCACTTTTTTTTTTTTTAATTATCACCTATTGCACTGGTATCATTCAAAAGAGTTTACCCAGGGTAGTCTGTGGGGGAGTACCACAGCATGGGTGCTGTAGGAGAGACTGCAGTGGTGCAGAGGAGAGATCCTTGATTCCCCTCCACCCAAGTTTTAAAGAGATGATGACCAGTGCACGGGCATCTTACCATCTGTCGGCAGAGCTTCTGCACATGACTAACTTCCTTGTCAACTCCAAACTGCACACACTGGTGACAGGCCCCTAGAGGACTTCAAAGGACATCCCTTCTGCTGCTATGCCCTCTGAGCTTGTGGCTCAAGGCAGCTGCCGGTGCCATGGCCATGCCTCTGAGTGCGGGCCGGCACCAGGGGCCCCAGACAGTGTGGCAGACATGGTGAGAACTAGGAGGGGCACCCTTTAACTGGTGGGCTGGGAAAGCTGACGAACTGGGACACACTTGCCTTGTTCTTCTCCCTGCCCAGGTGTGTGACCTTTGTGTCTGCCACCACCACGCTATGGGTATACCTACTTGAGTGCTGCCAGAACCTGCACCAGGACCACCCATGGCATGCAGCAGAACCTGGGCATCCCCACACCTGCCAGGGTAGGTGCTACACTGTCCAGGTATACTTGCCCGAGTCAGACAACTCCATAGCTAGATAGCTTGTTCTGTCCCAAAATGTGAGTGCCATGGCATGCCCTAAGTTGTCACTTTGACATGCCTTGTATCCGGCATCTGGCAATATAAGTGGAGGTGTGTGTGATACATGTCAACACAAAACAGCCGGGAGGATCCTAGCTCCCTTCACTCCTGCAGACATGAGCCCTCCAACCCCTGATCCCAGTGCTGACTCCAGTCCTTCAGCTCCATCGTGAGCTCTGACCTAACCTTACTTCTGACCCTGACCCAGCCTGTGACTGTGACCCTATGGGTGCCTTGGAAGGGGATTTGTGTGATACCTACACAGATGAGACCCATGGCCTCCTTCCTGGCGGTGTCCCTGCAAAGTCCACGTCTGGGGCCAGCACTGTGACTCCTGCCTCACTCAGGCTTGAGCCCCAGCCAGTCAGAAGGCTGCCAGCACCCCTCACACTAAGAGTGTGCCCCATCCCCTGCCCTCCCAGCCCTCCCCTCAGTCACCCTGATAACACTTGTATCCAACCACGGTGCAGCAGCCTCATTAGCACCTGATAAGCCTGTGCCTTAGCCTGCGCAGGTGCAACAGCCAGGCCCCGTCCCTGGCACTCATGCCTGTGATCCCTCCAGTGGCACCTGTCACTGCAAACATTTTGTTTCTGTATGGGACTGCTGCCGTTGTCAGGTGAGCCGTGACTAGCCTTCTGATATGACCGTGTTCTCGGGGGCTGAGTTTCTAGAAGCTCACAAGTATAAGGCTATAATCAATGTTACTGTAGACTAAGTCTTGCACAAGGATTGATACTACTCCTTGGCCTGGTCACCAGGGTCAGCACCACTTTGACTGGCTG